CTCTTCGTCCCTACTCTGTTCTTAGTTACTCTCCTTATATCAAAGAAGACATTTGGCATTTGTTCTTTAGGGATTGGCTAGCTTCACTTAGCATAATCTGCTCTAATGCCATCCATTTCCCTGCAAATTCTATGATTTTGTCATTTTTTAATGCAGAGTAATACTCCATTGTGTATAAATGCCACATTTTTTTTATCCATTCGTCTATTGAAGGGCATCTAGGTTGGTTCCACAGTCTTGCTATTGTGAACTGTGCTGCTATGAACATGGATGTAGCAGTGTCCCTGTAGCATGCTCTTTTTAGGTCTTCAGGGAATAGACCGAGAAGGGGAATAGCTGGGTCAAATGGTGGCTCCATTCCCAGCTTTCCAAGAAATCTCCATACTGCTTTCCAAATTGGCCGCACCAATTTGCAGTCCCACCAGCAATGTACAAGTGTACCCTTTTCCCCACATCCTCGCCAGCACTTGTTGTTGTTTGACTTCATAATGGCTGCCAATCTTACTGGAGTGAGATGGTATCTTAGGGTGGTTTTGATTTGCATTTCTCTGACTGCTAGAGATGGTGAGCATTTTTTCATGTACTTGTTGATTGACTGTATGTCCTCCTCTGAGAAGTGTCTGTTCAGGTCCTTGGCCCATTTGTTGATTGGGTTGTTTGTTATCTTATTGTCTAATTTTTTGAGATCTTTGTATACTCTGGATATTAGGGCTCTATCTGAAGTGTGAGGAGTAAACATTTGTTCCCAGGATGTAGGCTCCCTATTTACCTCTCTGTTTTTTTTGCTGAGAAAAAACTTTTTAGTTTGAGTAAGTCCCATTTGTTGATTCTAGTTATTAACTTTTGTGCTATGGGTGTCCTATTGAGGAATTTGGAGCCCGACCCTACCGTATGTAGATCGTAGCCAACTTTTTCTTCTATCAGACGGCGTGTCTCTGATTTGATATCAAGCTCCTTGATCCATTTTGAATTAACTTTTGTGCATGGTGAGAGAAAGGGATTCAGTTTCATTTTGTTGCATATGGATTTCCAGTTTTCCCAGCACCATTTGTTGAAGATGCTATCCTTCCTCCATTGCATGCTTTTAGCCCCTTTATCAAATATAAGATAGTTGTAGTTTTGTGGATTGGTTTCTGTGTCCTCTATTCTGTACCATTGGTCCACCCGCCTGTTTTGGTACCAGTACCATGCTGTTTTTGTTACTATTGCTCTGTAGTATAGTTTGAAGTCTGGTATCGCTATACCGCCTGATTCAAAATTTTCCCTGTTTGACAATATTATGGTACAAAACTCTGATGTTTTTTTCAGATTTAAAAATGTAATAATAAAATATAATATTATTACAGCATAATATTTAAAACAACACAAAATGCAAGCATGGCTTTAGATTTCTCACAAAACATATTTTCCCCCAGATTAAATTTTTTTTTCACATATATCATTTATATATCTTTATGGGGTATATTATTGCAACTCAATAGACGTATACAAGTTTTACCATGCAACTTTGATATTACATCCAGGAAGTCCCTATAATAAAACCTGAATTTAGTTTCATTGTGATGAATTACTTTTCCTAGAATTCATACTGTGACAGAGTCTGAGAGACTGTCTCTTCAGGCCCTTCAAGAATTAGGACATTCTAGCATTTCAAGCAGGAAAGATGAGTCTGGACACCTGAGGAATTTGGAGGAAGCAGATTTATTTAAGCTGCAGCAATCCAGAGGGTCTAACACCAAACAAGCTCTGGACCCCAGATCTGGCAATTCTCTAAGATTTCAGTGGGTGGTTACACAGCACAATGTTTAATATAACTTAATTTTTTTCCACATTCATAGGTTGGATAGAGGTTTCACAATTTTTTACAGAGAAAACAGAAATTTTCGCACATCAACAAACTTGATTGGAGACTTTTTTTAGGTTGTAGATGAGCACAATACCTTTATTTTTATGTGGTGCTGAGAATTGAACACCAGGCCTCACATGTGCTAGGCAAGTGCTCTATCACTGAGCCACAACCCCAGCCCTGCAGGCCTAACTCTTACAAGAAAGAGAAACCTGGCCTTTACAATAAAAAGGAGCTCAAAGCACAATGAGTGCTCTGGATATTTTGCTGACTTCTTAAAATTATCTCTTCTTGATTAGGAGAGAGACTTGTGTGTTACAATTAAGGTGGGAGTCTTTGGGGTGGGAGTCTTTTCTCTTCAGCCATGCCCACCTGCATATAGCTACTACCCAGTCACTCCATTCAAAATTGGATGTACTAATTAGGTTATAGCTCTCATAATCCAAATATTTTATCTCTGAACATTTCTGCATGAACAAGAGATTTTGGGGGACACTTCATACAGAAAACATAACATCTCCTATCTTGCTTTCTTCACTCACTGCTTGAGAACATATCCTCAGTACATAACTTCCCATCTCTGGTTCTGTTCACAGGAAACCTAAGATAGAATGTAGCTAGGAAGAAACAACAAATGCTGTAAGAAAATACCATGGATAGGGTTGATTAAACAAGAAAACTTACTTCTCATGGTTCCGGAAGCTGGCCTGGGTCTCACCCATCAGAAGATGGTTGATGCGCTGCAGAGCTTTCTTCTTCTCCCTGTCTAGGTCCTCAGCAGCCACTGGACAGGCCACTAACAGAGGTGGTGGCAGCTTCAGAGGTTCCCCTCGGCGGCATTGCAGGAGAGGAAACTTGCGTTTCCGTGGCCTACTGGTGTCTCCTGTGGGTGAGGACTTCTTCTTGGGCAATGGGTGTCCCGCCCTGCCTTCTGCCACCTTCTCACCCTGGGCCTTCTTTGGGGGAATCCCTGGGGATGAAGAACATTCCAGGGGCGGCTCCCCCTTGGGTGGGTCTGGAGCCCTCCTCTTCAGGGCTTGGAGACCTCGTGTGGAGCTGTAGGAGCTGCTGATGGGGTTTCTTTTGGGGCAGGAGCTCATGCAGATGGCCCGGGAGCTCTCAGCTCTGTCTTGGGAGCTCTGGGTGCAGAGGTTTCTCCACAGAGGCCCAGGCCTGGGCACAAAGGCAGGCACACCGCTATGGGCCCCCAGGGGCCTAAAAGCAGATGCTCTCCCAGTGACCTGAGGGCGCCCCCTCTGATGTTCTCTATCTACAGGGTGCTCTGCTTGCTCAGGGGCTGTCTCCAGGGGCTGTGATCACAGTCCTCCCTGGGCAGGGTTCTTGGGGTGCTGGAAGCTGGCAAGGAGCAACTTCCTGCCCCTGCACCCTACAAGGCGGCTGTCTGAGTCTGCGGCCTGGGATGCAGGAATTCATGAAAGCTGCAGTTGACAGCAGCGTCCTCCTCAGGAGACCTGGCATGCGGAGGGAGGAGGCAATATCCAAGTCTCCGAGAAAAGATCCAAGGGTCCGCAGGACCCTGGAAAAGCACCGAGCAGGCACTTTTCGCAACCGCTGAGGAGCAGTTGCAGGATGGCGGCAAGATGACCTGCAAGATGACCTGCGAATGGTGCCACCAGCCCAGGAAGCCCTTAGTGGCCAACCAGTAGAGGGAAGTCGGCGAGGCCCATGACCGGGCTTCTTGTGGGACCCTTCTGGCAGGTCTCTGCCACTCAGCGCCGGGGGCAGGGGTGAGGGACAACACTTGCTGTGGGAAGTCTCCATGGCAGTCTTAGCGAAGGCGCTAGTGGGTAATTCTAGCGGCCATCGCAGAAGGCCTTCTTCGGCTGCTCACGCAGCTTCAGGCGAAATGGCTGTCAGACCTGTCGCCAGGGCGTGGCTGAGGAAGGAATGAGTGGAGAACAGGCGAGCGCGTGAGGGAAACCGTCAATACTGGGCAAGAGGCAGGCTTGCGCCAGCAACGGACGCGCGCCTGCAAATTCCGCGTGCGTATGCAAAGTCTGCATGCACGTGCAAAGTCTGCATGCACGTGCAAAGTCCGCGTGCTTGCACCAGATGCAGAAGAAATAGGCAAGGGAACTGCGTGCCTGGTGCGTGCGTGGGTCCTGGGGGACTGTTGAGTGCTGACACTGGGATGTGATTCAGATCCCGCTGGTCCACCTCCTGACCCAGTGAGGTTTCCGGATCATCTCGGAAGGGTTGTAGATGCTGGGTTTGAGGGGTGGCAGCTATGGCAAGGCCAGGGATCTCTCCCCTCAGACTGGTGCAACGACCCTGCCCCTCCCCAGAGGCAGCCGGGATGGCAGCACAGATGGGCTGAACTCCGATGGACGTGGGGGCAGTCAGAGGGCTGAGCAGGCTCTTGCTGCAGGTTGAGGGTAGCTCTTGGGGCGTGGAGCACGTGCGGACTAGGGTGAGGCAAGGACACCTTGTCCTCCCTTGAAGGTGTGAGCTAGTGTTTGTATCTAGCATTGCTATGGTGAGGGTGGGCGGGGCTTAGTTTGACAGCCAGGAGCTCTTGCAATGGCAAGAATCCCTCAGCCCATGGCCCCGCCCCTGAGCTGTCAGAGTTCTGTCTTCTGTCCTGCCTGGGCCTGGCCAGTCAGAAGGGGAACTGCTGGGGGGCAAGTTTCTTGGCTGAGCAGCATTTGCAGGTGGTGGCAGCTTTGGGATCATGGCCTGTGTGTCTTCCTGCACTTCCTCTGGGAACAGTGGATGGAACAGCTGCTGAGAATGCATTTAAGGCATCCCCCAGAGTCTGGCTGAGGGGTTCAGCAGGGCAGGCTGGGAGGCAATGCTACCCTCTGTGCACAGTCCTTTCTCTTTTTGTGGAAACCAGAAAAACCCAGCTGTGTGCTCACAAAATCGAGTTTTATTCATATTTGGGTTGCTTTCTTTGAATTTTGGTTATCAAGATTCTCCAATTTTTAAATTTATTTTTTTTAGTTGTCAACAGGCCTTTATTCATTTCTGTGCAGTGCTGAGAATTGAACCCAGTGCCTCCCACGTACTAGGCAAGCACTCTGCAATTGAGGCACAACCCCAGCTCTCCATTGTTTTGACTGTCTTCATTGCTTAGCTGTTCTGGGGACAATACTAAGCCTCCTACTGTTCCTACAGTGTAAGATACGTTACCTTTCACCAGTCCAATCTCAGCATTCACTCTTTGAAGGTTCCAGTTGTCATGGGTCTTGGCTTTTCCTGGATGGAAGGGCACCCTGCCAGAGTTAGCTGTGAGGTTTCAAGCTCAAGCTTCCCATAACCCACTAAGCAGCCCTGCATGCTCCTCCATGCTCAGCTATTATGAACTGTCCCACCTCCTCACTGGTGGAGTTCTGGGCTTGTTTCTGAACTGGGCAAAATATCAGTGAGTGTGGACCTGGAGGAGTGAGGTTGGAGGGAGCCTCACCTGGAACTGTTGTCCCAAATGGGTGCTCCTTGGGCCCCTTCCATTGTCCATGGCCTTTTCTGGGTCCACTGGACCTGCAGTAATCAGTGAAGGCCGCTGGGTGAGGTTGTGGCAGTGGTCATCTCTCCTGGTGGGATAATTCCTGGCATTGCATCCTTCGGAACCCAGTTCAAGGTGCTGCCCAGTAGGCTGCATTGGGAATCAGGGTCCTGGAAGTAATGAATCACCAGATGGGCCAGTGAAGCACAGACTTGCAGTGGGTGACAAAGTTGGAGTTGGGTTGCCAAGAACATGGTCCTGGGGCTCAGTGTATAGGTCCTTCCTCATGCCACACAGCTGAATTGGCACTTATCTTGAACTTTCCTCTGGAGTGGCCAGAACCAGAAGCTCCTTCACTTCCCAAGTGTCATGAAATCATATGGCTTTTGAGAAAATGGCTTTAATATGGGTTTATGTCCCCCACCATAGGCCTCCCCACAGGCTTACATGCTGGGAAATTCTCAGTTTCTTCTTTCAGTCACCATTTCCTGCTGCATAGGGAGCAAAAATGGACACCCTCCTAGATCATGCCTGCCTCTGGAGTCAGGGTAGTGACTATATTGATGGACAGGGTGACCAAATGTGGGCCACACCTGAGTGGTCCTGGAGTATGAGGTTGGCCAACCTCTTTATTTTCTACTAACAAAGGTAAACACAGTCTTTATTGCTTCTTTTATTTCTTATTAAGTCAGCAATTCATGCTTAGGGTAGATCAGATAGAAAGTACAGATTGCTAGGATTCCTTGGAATGTGGCCTTGGGTTTGAGTCTATGGATAGTGTTGTGTACAAGTGTTGTTCAGTCATTTAAAAGGAATACACATTGTGGTGGTCGCAAACATACACCTGTAGGATGAACTTGCAAATATACTAAGCCACATGAAGGCCTCACTGTGGTTTGTCAAGATCATCCTGATTCACAAGGACCTGTCTTTCCTTCGCCTTAGAGGGAACAGAACCCAAGTCCTGGAAACTGCCTTTAAGACTCCAAATTTGTTTTGGAGAGGGTTAAAAAAAAAAAAACAATGTTAGAGAGGACTATGATGAGTTTTATTTAAAAAATGATTTCTAAAATGTGGAATCAGAATAAAGTAATACATGTATAATATAAGCATATATCATTGTTTCTAAATTATCATGTTAAATTTCATAAATATGTATTAGATCTCCTAAAAAGTTGATATCATCAGGAAAAAAGTCAATATTTCCCAGGAAGAGGATAAAATGTTCTATTCCCAAAACTGAAATTTTTTCTTAAACTTAGTTTCAGCTTTTATTTTGATACCTGTGTTTGTATATTCATTTTTTTAAATCGAGGATTACTTGCATATATCATCTAATCCCCTGTTTTTAATTCAATGTAATCACACACACACACACACACACACACACACACACACACAACATGCACATTGATCAGGAGTTATTACCATCCTTTTTCTTTATGAGGCAGCAGAAGCACAGAGAAGATACAGAATATGCCCAGGCCTCCACAGTGCATTCCCTACTGAATGTTTGTGTCTCCTCCAAATTTATGTTGAAGCCCTAATGCCAATGCGATGGCATGAGAAGTGGGGCCATTGGGAGCTAATCAGATTTTGATAGGCCAGGGGGGGCATGTCTCCCAAGATGAGATTAGTGTTCTCAGAATTTGAAAAAGAGACCAGGACTTACTTGCTCTCCACCAAGTGAGAATACAGTGAGAAGCAGCCAGCTATGAGCAAAAAGAGGGCTCTTTCCAAAAATTCAATCTATCAGTACCTTGACCATGAACTTCCCACCCTCCCAAATGGGGAGAAATAAATGTTTCTTAAGCTTCGAGTATTTAGTTGTAGCAGCTAGAACTGACTAGGACAGTCAGTGAAAGGACTTTGTGAATATTCAATGAAATAATGTATGCAAAGTGGTCTATGAATATAAGCTATTGCATTATCACCTTCATCATCATTACCATTTTTCCTAGCCAAATGGCATAGGAGCTATTTTTCACACCTAATTCAATTCCAAAAGAAGCCACTGATATTTCTCCAGCAGAAAGAGGTTATGACTGCTCCAGATGAGTTACTACCTAGATGTTCAGGTTGGTTTGTGGCCATTTTATGGATCTACATAAACCTTTGGCTGCTCTGTAAATGAGTTTTCTGGCCCATCATGAGATTTATACCCCTGTGCCATCAATACCATCCCCTTTTAGGGTGTCCAATTATGACCAGTCATTTACATCTTGAGCCATTCTGAAATCCATGTGGATTTTCTCTTCCTCAGAGGTCTATAAAAACATGAATGACAGGTGATGTCACTGAACAACAAAGATGGGAGAGGACAGCTTGAAGAGCCTGGAGAGGAGCCAGGCAATCAGAGAAAAAATAACACTAAGAGTGGAGGAGGCCAACCTCTGTCTAGAGGGCTCTGGGAAGAGCCAGCCTGATTTCCTTCTGGGACCTGCTCAGCATGGATTGTGGGTAAGATTTGGGTAAGATAAGGTCAGCCATGAACTGTGTAGAAGTAGAATGCATTGGGGGTGCTGATGGAACTAGATTTGTATTTCTGCTTTACAAAATATCTCTGAATAATTAGGTGGAATTCCCTGAGATTCCGTTTTCTCATCCAGCAAATGGGCCTAGTAAATGAACCTTCTCAACAATGATAAGGTGAAGATGTCATGAGGTTATATTTGCAAAGCAGTTACAAACTATGGAACCAAACTAGGTACTGTTCAAGAGATGAATTAATAAAGATAATGTAATACATATACATAATGGAATATTACTCATCCTTGAAGAATGAAATTATGGCATTTATCAGTAAATGAATGAAGCTAGAGAATATTTTGCTAAGTGAAATAAGCCAATCCCAAAGAACAAAAGGCCAAATGTTTTTCTCTGATATGTGGAGGCTAATGCACAATAAGGAAGTGGAGCTAGGAAAAAATAGAGATACTTTGGATTAGACAAAGGGGAGTGAAAGGGGAGAGGGGTATGAAGGGAGGAAGAAGAGCAGAATGAATTGCAAATTATTACTCTATGTGCATATATTGTAAAGGTGACATTGCAATAAATTACTGAGTTGATTTTAAAGTGGGAGATGGAAACTTTATTCACCAGCTGGTAGTCCAGATCCACCATCCAAGGGATAGGTAGGCTGCAAGTCTATACCGTTCAACCCCCACCCGGGGTATGAGTACACTTCTTGTAGTCCAAAACCACATTAAAGAATAAGTGGCTGTTTGTATAATTCAAAACCATAAACAAATGTCATGAGATCTAAAATCATAAGCAGAATGAAAAACACATTTTTAGTGACAACACAAAGTAATTTTAAATTCTTTTATTTATCAATTTAGGAAAACACATTTAATGTTTAAGTATGTTACCCTATAAAATTTAGGAGTCAAGAGTACTTGATGTTATATTTAGCAGTTAACATTTTAACTTTGTAAGCCAATTAGATGTCTCTAACAAACTTATTTAAAATTAATTCTATATATGTTAAATAAAATTTACTTATTTTTAAAATCAAAGATATCAGAGAAGTGCACTGAACAGTATCATTTTTTTTTTTTTCAATTGAGGAAAAATCCTAGAAACAATGGATAGTAGACATTCTATAGACATTCACATTTTTTCAACAACTGTTTGATGACCTAGAAACGAAACTGCATTGGTAACTTTAAAGACAATATTACTACTTCTTGTTGTTGTTTGTTCACCCAGCATGGACAAAAATGTCATGTACATGCTAAAGAATGGTTACTAATATCTAGATAATCAATCTTTGACAGAACACACTGTCCAAGAAAAATGGGAACCAAAAAGAAAACACTTTTACATTGTGTAAGAATTGACATTTTGTGTTGCCAAACATGCTATGCTAAGCAACTGTTGATGGGTAGAGGTGGAGATTTCCCTGGGAGAAGCATTTCTTACATGATGTGGAGTCTCAGGGCAAAATGGAGTCTGATTGGTTATTATCCATATAGCCTGGCCCATTACAATATAATTACATGACCAGAATAACTCTATATCATGTGCAACCAGAAGAATGAGAATTTGTACTTCATTTATGTATGATGTGTCAAGATGAATTCCACTTTCACATATAACTAATTAAAACAAAAAAAAGTAAATGTTCTTGGGCACACTAAATCAAACAACAACAACAACAAAATAACTACTAAAGATATTTTCACAGGATATTTAAGTGACCATGGACTCTATATGCTGTGTCTAAGGGCCAGAAGGATTGGTTAACCCTCCTTCTAGAGAATCCACTATCCTTTCTGTACAGGAAGGGGAAGCTTGGTATGCAAGTTGCTAGAGAGATTTCATCTACAGCTGTTAAGTCAAGGGCTGCAAGAAGTGTCTAATCCTGCAGAATTGGTAGAATCACTGAAAATTGTGTAAAAATTTACTGCCAGTGTCTATTCTCTACACCAGTCACTGGTATACACTGTGGTCCATCAGAGTGCCATGTGTGGCGTGGATAGCATTTTATGTTATTGGTAGATTTCTTTATTTTCTAACTTTTGAAGTAATATATATATATATATTCAAAATCACTAAATCAAGAGAGTTAAAATTGTTATTACCTAATTTATTACCTATAATGAAAATGACAAAATCAGAATGTGTCTCTGATTAATTAAACCTTAGTAAGAACCATTAAAAACAGCAGTAGCAGCAATATACAAGCACGGGCACATCCAAAACAAATGTGGCGTGGATAGATTTCTTTATTTTCTAACTTTTGAAATAATATACTGAGGCTAGTCTCGAACTTGCAATCCTGCTGCCTCGGACTCCTAAATTGCTGGGATAACAGGTGTGCACCACTGTGTCCAGCTTGCTTTCACTTTACAAAAGCAATTTACCTGCAACCCTGCCTGGATTCAGTTGATGAGATATGTTACATTTCCTCAGCAAACTACCTGCCATCTGCAGGGAACATGCAGGCCCCCAAATGCCATTAAGAATACAAGTATCCCTAAAGATGGGAACTTATTATCTGTAATTAAGTCCTCGGGGTAGGGGCAGGGGCACATGTCATTCCCAACTGTCCTCTTCTTGAATCATGCCAGAGTAAGCCGGGGATTTTCATTCCTGCATCTCTCCTATGTCTGCTCCTTCCTCCCGCTCAGCCCCGACTCCTAATCTTAGAGAACATGAGTGAAAGAGATTAGAGTCCAGAAGAGGACATGCTCTTTTAGAAATGCTAATATAAGTTGGCAATTTTATAGGAAAATAGTATCGTACTCATTTTTTTTTTTTTTTTTTTTTGCTTTGCCATAATTAGAATGTTCATGAAGCTGTTTGTGGTCGAGACACTTATATTCGTAGAAAACCATGCAGCCATAATTTGTGGACTCTTGCTCCTATTTTTCAAGGTTTTAATTTATGCTTTCATTAATTTCACATCTACATAAGACTCAGTGACAAAATATTAGTGCTCAGGCAGCCCCACACTATTGTGCTTTGGTGTGTGGGTTTGTGCGACTGTACCTCTTCTTATGTGGAAGTGAGAATACCAACCTCCAGCAACAGCGATAATAATACAATGATAACTTGTATTTGTCCTAGGCATTATTGTTGAAAATAGGACTGGACTGCCTGGTAGAACTTTCTACAATGATGGAAATATGTTCTCTTTCTGTGCAATATGGCAGTGGGGACTTGAAAGTCTGATATCATCCTTCTGTCATTCAAAAGTCAAGAAGTGGGCCTAGGTGGGAATCTAAAAACTGCACTGGGATCCCTAATAATAGTGGAGGGCAGGAGGAATATACAGTCCCTCTCCCCTCTGAGAGGACCCATTCTTCCCTTTGAGGGTGTCCCCCTTTCCCCTTTCCTATCCTCCTAATAAATTCATGCTTGTTACTTCTGAGCAACACGTCTGAACCTGATTGCAAGAATCAGGGTTTGAAGGGGGATATGCAGCCACTAGGCCCATGTGGTGGTGAACACTTGCAAAGAGGTTAAGGTGAGTTTTTTTTGGCAGGGGGGGAACAACAGCCAGCATCTCAATAAGAGGTCCTTCTTTCTGCCCAGGAATCCAAGCCACCTTAAAATTTACAATCTCAGATAATTGGTAAGTAAGAAAACACATTAGTCAGAAATACATTTACAGAATGTGAAGCCCCTGAGAGATCTAGTCACATGGGTTCCAGAGGAACTAGATCAAAGGGAAATGGCTCTGGTGGTTTGTTTAAGGAGGTACATCAAAGGCAGAGATAAGGTTTCAAGAGTGGAGTCTTATTTCCAGATGTCTTGCAGTCAGCATGTTGATTGACATCTTGGCAGGACACACCCATCTCAGGTGCTGTGTGGGCCACGGCAGAGCAGGAAAGAGATTCACATTGTCCTTGGGCAATTGACCAGAGGAAATGTCCACCAGCCATTCCCAGACACCAGATATCTCTATCCATGCGGCTTCCATGCATGGTGACCCATTTGTGACCCACGGATGGCTCCTGACAGTGAATCAAGAATTGCAATTTTAATTTTGTTTACTTTTAATTAATTTAATTTTGTTTTCTGTACTGGGGATGGAACCTAGGGTCTCATAGATGCTAGACAAGTGCTTACAACTAAGCCACATCCCAAGATCTTTTTATTTTATTTTGATACGGCCAGCCTCAGGCTAGCCTTGAGCTTGTGATCCTCCTGCCTCAACCTCTTCAGTAGCTGGAATTACAGACCTGCACCACTAGTCCTGGCTTAATTTAAATTTGAATAGCCAATTAATGTTATTGGCTGCTATATTGGACAGTGCAGGCTAAGAAGGTACTTGCTTATTTGATCTTGGCTAGCCATCTGAGATGAAGGGAGAAATGTGGCATTTTATTGACAATGCGACTTCATTAAGGAGAGGTAGCAAGATCACAGGGCAGTAGTGATTCTGTGTAAAGGCACACCTGGGTGTGAGGCAGGTGTTCACCCACATCATGTGCTAATATATACATTGCAGAGGGCTCTCTTCATATTTCTTCAAAATAATTCTGCCATGGACCACCACAGACATTGAAATTTTCCATAATTTGAATAGATAATGGTTAGATTTTTTTTCCCTATTAGAGGGTACTGTTTCTATGTTACATTCCCAAATAGCCTGTAGTTCTATAGCACAAAGTCTAAATGTGTAAATTAACATTTTTTTTTTTTTTTAGAAAAAACTTGCATTCTTTCTTTTGGAAGGAAAAGCAAACTTTTGACTAACGCAAAATTTAAATAGAAGGTAGAAACTTTGACATGTGGATGCTAACACACAACATGGGGGAGAGGGGGAAGAATAGATATTCACTGGCTTAGACAGAGAGGAATGAAGGGAAGGGGGCAGGATAGGAAAAGGAAAGACAGTGGAATACATTTCCTATGTTCATATATGAATGCCCCACCAGTGAAACTCCACATCATGTACAACCCAAAGAATGGGATCCTAATTAGAATAAGTTATACTTCATGTATGTATAATATGTCCAAATATACTCTAGAGGCATGTATATCTAAAAAGAACAAATAAAAAATTTAAAAAAAATAAAAATAAAAATCAGGGATTCAGAAGTAATAACTGAAACAATATAGGATTGATGTATGAGTAACTGGAAGGGCAAATGGAACAGAAGAGAGAGTCTGGGACAACCTAGGCATGTATGGGAAGTAGTCTGTGACAGCAATAGCATGTCAGGCCCATGGGGAAAGTATGATACACATGTGCTGAATACACATATGTGCATGTTTACATATGCTATGGACATAAATGGACATGTCTGTCCTGACCCAATTTGTTTCAAAAGCAGCCTTAACTCAGGTACTGGGCATGCAGTCAGCAGCTTTGGCCTCTCCTGGGTGGGGCTGCTGGGAAGCCACACCTCCCCATCTGGACTACAGTGGTCCAGCCTCCATGGCTGGGCTCCCACGGGGCTCCCCAGTCACCTTCCAGTTGGACCACATTCCTATCAATGTGGCTTCCCAGAGAGGCCCAGAAAGTCCATTTTCTCTGGGTCACAACTCTTCCTCACGACCAACCTCTTTCTTTTCTTGTCCACAATGCCAGGTCCTTCTCCCTTTAAGTCCAACCCTCA